TAGCACAATTCCTTGAAAATATGTCCTGGCAGCATCTACAATGCTCTTGAAATGAAACCTCTGCTGCAGTAGTATTCCTTTGGTAAAAGGGTTGCAGAGTTTACAAGGATGTGGATCTGGAGAAGTGAGTGTAACACCTGATTTGTGCACTGTACAGGTAGAGGAAATAATTTCCTAACAAGGAAGCTGGCTGTGAAAGAGGGTGTTCACTGGTAGTAATGAAAAACAGATTAGGAAGGCGTTATTTACACTTGATAAATCAGAAATGGCATCAAAGAGAGCTGATATTACAAACTATTAATGAAAGACATAATAATGAAACAAATCGCATAATAGATCACAACAAAGTGTTTCGATGTAATGAATACTGATACTAAGTGAACTGAGCACTCTGGGGATACAATTTCAAATCCATTCCAACGTGCATGGCAGCAGTGTAAGCAAAACCAGCACTTTTAGAAGAAATCGACTCTATTATACTGCTCAGTCAGATCACATCCGCATCATTCACTAGCTCTCCAATTTCATGATATAKATAAAAAAAAGAAACTGTTTGCCAAAACCATTTTTTAATTATTTTGTGTGTGTGTGTCAAAAGTAACCAAAATCTCATCTCCCATGCCCACATAAATTATTTCAAAAAACAGTGTGAGAAAACAAACATTAGACATATTAAAATGACAGCCAGACAATGTTTCATCAGCATGGATTAGAAAATGATTTAATTCTTATAATTATAGAAAGACATACAGTAATAAATTATGGTACAGAATATGAAGGAGAAACAGCTCTAAAATTCAGAATTTCATATTTCCAAATTTTAAAGTTTAGCAGTATTAAAGACAGGGCTTTTGATTAAATAGAGGGATGCCCTACATAGCTTACATGCAGTATTTCTGTTCTAATGACACACATGAAACTTCTGCTGGTGMGCAACCCATGATTTCATTTCAGACTCATCTGTATCCTTAACATTTCTTAGGTCAACTCCGACATTTGTGAATTTAGATCTAAATATGTTTATGCATTTTCTCAAAGAACTGTTTTTTGTTGTTGTTGTTKTTTTTTTTAAAGTAAAGGAATTCACACACATAGCAACAGAAAGACAGCTGGATGCCTAGGAATGGGATCTGCAAAAGCCAGCAAGCTGAGCAGGAAATAGCCTTGCAATATTATAAAATAGCTATTGCAATATTACTAATGCCAGATGATGGAAATTTTCTTTGGGAGTCTCTAAAGAGACCTGGTGGATCTAAAGGTTCTTAGTTGTGGCTCCAGATGGAGCACATTCTTACACAAGATTTAATATGAAAAGTTGGTGGGAAGGTTACAGGCACAGGGTGAGCCTCTGTGTTTCTTTGGGTTATGTACCTGGACCCATAGAAAAAGGAAGTTATACACAGTAAGGCTGAAGAGTTTTGTACTTTTTTTTCAAAATATCTCGAGAAAATACAGATTTTAATACATTCTGAGAATGAAACAGATGTATCAGTTTAAAACATATTGACAGATTTGACCCAAGAACTAATAATAACTTACCCACAAATTATTACTGAAGCAAAAATTTTTATGATACTACATACCTCTACTCATGAATGCTGAGATGAAGTCTGCAGAGCAAATGCTACAGATTTAAATTTCTGTTTTTTAAATTTCAGTCATGTGAAGTTGTTCAGCATCTCTAATAGGATTGGGATGCTGTGCTCATATTAGACATGTTTAATTTACTGTGATGTCTTTAATGCACTGTTTTGACATTCCTTCACAATAATTACAATACCCTCAACATTTTAAAATACAAGTAAATCACATCAGTATAAATCTGGAGAACCAACATATTCAGAAAGAATCAGTAAACAAGCAGCTATGGATAAAGCTTCACTGCAGTGCGGCCGTCACCTTCATCTTCAGCCAGCCACCTTGAGAGAAAACCATAAAAACATGTCATGAGTACAGCATGTATAAAACTTAATAATCAGAAGAGTAAGGGCCTGCTTCTGCACCTTTGGATTTCTAGGATAGTTTTAATATTGACTTATTCAGGAACAGTAACCAGCCTGAAAAAAAAATCCTAGGAAGGATTTTTCCTTTTCCTAGAAGGAAGTCCATTCTGTGTTTGCAAGTTACTAAACTCCATTCTGGGGACTGGTTACATCTCATGACTCCTTGATGAGCAACAAGATACAGCATCATGTAGCGGGCCCAAACTTTCTTCCATAGAAGGTGGGAAGGCAACCTTCTTGCCTATGAGGGTTTTACCATTTACTACATGATACTATTTACTACGTAATAGGCCTGATTCCAAAGCTAACATTTTGTGATGATGATAACCAGCACTGCAGAGGCAATGACATTCATTTCCAGTGAGATTTAAAAGACCTCTAGCACTTTTGCAAGGCTTGTGAGAGGTTACCTGGTGCAATGAACCAAGYGCTCTCTGGAGAGCTATCTCCCAAAGACTGAGCAGAGGAAGAATTCCCTGCCGGTGCAGTGTTAACGATAACTAAGATCTGAATTTGCATCTTGGGAGATACGGGCTGATGCCAGTGGTTGCAGGCTGAAACACAGCTAATCCTGGCTGATAAAATAGCTCAAGTAAGAGCCAGAGCCACTGAGAGTGTGATGTCAAGTAAGACTGTAGGCTTTTAAGTAGGCTACTAGAGGATGCTGATCTCCCGACAGACTTCTTGGTGCTGAATATCTTTTAGAGTTAGTATTTTAACCCCTCTTTTCTTTTGACAAGATGAATCTCTCTCTCTTTCTCTCTCTCTCTCTCTCTCTCTCTTTTTTTTTTTTTTTTTTTTTTTTTTAATGAGAGAATGAACACATTCCCCATTTATTCAATAGGGTAGTAGGCTTACGAGATTGGAAGCCCTTTGAGCTCCAAGGGGATTGTGGATTTATTGCTTCCCGAGTCACAGGAGTGCACTGCAGCACCTGGGTCCATAAATGCTCTGGGGAGTGGGCTTCTAATCTCTTCTACAAAAAGGCTTCTTTTCTTTAGAATAAATATCTACGCATTAGAGTAAGGATCTCACTGTAACCCACCAAGACTAAGGTTAAATAGTCATCGGACTCTACAACAAATCCATATCTCTTACTGCCCCAATTTCTCTGTTTCTTTTTAAAAAATATAACASTTTTGACTGATGTAACCAAGAAAATCTTTCCTTAATATACCCTCTTGGTACTAAAGCACAGGTTTTACCATTATGTGATTCAAATCTTTGTTCAAAGTAGGATTTCTTGCTTCCCAATGTAAGATGTGAGAAATTAATGTTACTTTTGTACAATAGAGATGAAGAACACGACTTTTTCAATTATTTGGAAAAAAACCCAGTATTTTCCTCTAAATAATTATTCCTGACAAATGAGATTACAATTTTCCACCAAGTTCAAAAGCTACTGGGCAGGGAGTGATAGGAATACAGAGCAGAAAAAATGTTGAACTAGAAAGACTATTTCTAATTCTTGCTATGAAAAGAAATTATCAGCTAAAGAGTAATGATGAACAGATCTACTGACCTGTTACAGTTAAAGTAATACACTGAATTAGATGCATCTATGATTTCTACTTTTTCCAGAAACCAGCCACTTGCTGTAGAAGAAAAAACGAGAAAATTTAATATAATCAAAACACATATAAGGTACAAGAAAGGTTTTTGATTTCATTTCCAGGCCTGAGTGATTCAGTGCTTTCAAATGTATTCAATATCAATAATAAAACTGAAATGTAGATAATTCAAATTACCACCAACATTCCTCTGTTTTATAGAGAAGGTCTTTGATGTTTTTGACAGAAAATATAAAGGTAGATTTTTATTACAACTTAACTCATTTTTTCGCATTGAAAAGAACAGGTAGTAAGATAAATGAAACAGAGTACATGGTAATAATGAATGCAGCCTTGAAATACTATTTTGCCTTTTTCTGTASTCTGAATTGTGCTCAAAGTGTATCCCTAATGTGCTCTCATTTTCTCTGTCCATCAAATAAATTAAAAACAGATAGAATTTATCAGTAGATATAATTCCTTTAATCACAATCCAACCCTTAAACAATAGGAAAACAGAACTTCTATTTTTTTTTTGTGCATTTACACTTATGTTAAACCAAATGGTGAACTTGAATATTTTTCATATCCGCATTTCTTTGAAAAGAGTGATTCAGGGAGGCATGCCAATTTAGGCCAAAACTCATATCTGCATCTGTTTTAAACAAGTATATAGTACTCTACTACAGTCAACTATGTTGCTCTGTGGGAAATGATATCTTCCTTCTTGTGCTATAATATTTTCTTTCAATCAATATTAATACATGAAAATTTTTAAAATTAAATTTTATTACCTGTAAATACTATATTTTTGCTTGTGTCTTTTGTTGCATTTGCCAGTGGAAATACTCAATGCGAACATTTAAAACTAATAAAGATCATATCATAATAGTTTTAAACCTTTTGGTATTCTTTGCATGTCTTAGAGATAAAACACTATATTTTAACGTATTATTAAGATTTGCAGATACTTGGACAAAGTATTAAGTACACTAAAATATAATACAAAAATATATTGTGAATTGTGCCAATATCCACGCAATTTAAAGGCATAACAATGTTTCTCGCTTTTCATGAACATTTTCAAACAATTATCTAGTAAAACTAGAAAAAAAAAAGCATATAAAGGTGTCTACATTTTTCGTCTTCCATTCCCAAGAGCCCTTTATGGAAACTGTGAAATACTTTCACAACTCCTTTAATGAAATCTTGTGAATGGTTTAATATATCATAGACTCTACTTGGAATATATGACCTTTCATGAAATACCTGTAAGTGAGAGTCAAGGTTATTAGCAATAAAAATTTACAGTCTCTCAAATTTACTCAGCACTCTACAAATAAATATTAAGGCCTGTTTGCTCTCCTGAAAAGTTTATAATCTAATATTTTATCCTTTACTGATAAAACTCCAGCAGCACTCACTGAGAGCTCCAGGTATGGAGAAATCTACAGTCAATAAGGAAAGCTTAGGAAGCAGATGAAACACTTAGAGCAGGTGTTGCATTCAAGGATGCCCGTGAGCGTTACAGCTGATGTGACAGAAGACATTCAGAGACAATTTCAGAGCCAAATTTAGAGGAAACAAATCCTGGATATAGAATGGATCAACACACACCAGCTGTGCTAGGAAAGCGGTGCTAACTACTGTGTTGATCAGAAGACAGAGAGGAAAAATAATCACAGTGTTGATGGTTTGGGACCCAGGATAAGCCAGTTGAGTCTGTATCTCTGTCCCTGTAGAGTTTTGTGCAACTCCCCGAGCACCAAAACCTGCTTGTGTAGAGCTCCCTTCCCAGACCTGCTCTAAGCTGAATTGTGTGCTGTACAGCAGCTAACACTAATGAGAAGGAAAACAAGCAGGAGGATTTTACTTATTGTAAGTATTCTCCAGAATTACCCGCTACCTACACTAAACAAGACTCTAAAGAGTCTAAGACTCTAAACAAATAAAAGATTTCCAGTATTCATTTTCTTAATATTCAAAGCTCCTGAAGATTCATACCTCTGGAGATACAGACTGAGAAGTTTTCGCTTAGCAAAAATTGTGAATATAATTCAAGGGAAATGTGACAGAGCTAGAAGTGGTTAAGTAAGGACAGTTAAACTGACTTCATTGGTATAGATTTGTATTAGCTGTCTGTGGCAGTTGCATGACTTTAAAAGCACTTCCAAATCTCAGGCAGATGTTTAAGCAGGAGATTTTTAAAATCCTATTGAACATATGTATACTTACCAAATCCTTTCCCATCATGACCAATTTCAATTGAATGAAGGCTTCCTAATTTTTTTGTCATAATCTTGAATGTATCAACCTGTAAAATTAAAATATGGATAATCATTGAAAATAATGTATCAGAATCTAGAAACTTGTACATTTGCTTTTCTAAGTTTTGAGACTAATTGATATCAATTCAACATACTTAACTGACACCTGGTATGATTTATTTTCTTTACTGAAAATATCCAGTATAGATTCCCCCCATACTGGGTGAACTACAGATTAAACATGAAAGATTCACTTTTCATCTTACAGTAAATCAATTCTTGGCTTTCATAGACCAGAAAAATATTTTTGTTCAGTATCTTACCAACTTTCACCTGATAAACAAAGACTTCAACTTTTTTTTTTTTTTTTTGTTTATGACACAATAAATATACCTTTATGTGGGTAGAAGCTATAAGGTTTTAATGTATGTATCATTAAATCTCTCTAATACTGTATATAGTACTAAGCAAGGCACCCTCCCACTTGCTCCTTAAGCCTTAACTGTTAGTAAAAATTTTCATTAATTTTATCAATATGGTAGGCACTATATATGTAAAGATATGTTAGAAATCATTCATAGACATCTTGGCTAAAGAAACTCAGACAACTGCAAGTAAAGAGATGTTTTGTACTGCTGGAGATAATGAGTTAGGTCTCATAAGGAAGATATCTTAACCAGAGTTTTAATTATTCAGTCATTACCTTTCAAGGAAACCACAGGAGAAAGATATGGGAAATATATTTATTTATTGCTACGTACGGGTAGCCATCATTATATTTCATCACACAGGTGGTGAACAAATCGAGCAAATCCTTTGCCAAAGAAATATGTTTATTAAAAACGTGAGAACATTGTGCTAAGGTACTGGGACGTTATAAAGAGAGTTAACACTCCTATGCAAGTAGCTGTATCTGAATTAAGGATCTCTGAATAGCCTAAGGCATGATGGACATCAAAACCAGGTAGGTGTCTGTGATTCCATTTTGTGCAGGTATCAGCTCAGAGGGATGCTTTCAGCATCAGTTTTCAGGATGAAGTAAACTTGTGGGATACAACAGACCGGTGTGTTTTCAACACAAGCATAATGTTCAAAGTTTGTGAAACAACCAGAACTGTTGCACATACATTTGTGTGCCCAGGAATAAATGCTTTTAATTCAGAACTGAGGAATCACATAACTAGGTAGAAGAGTAGCTGCACTATGGAAGTGTGTTTGAGACAGAGAACAACAATAGAGTCAGCTAGGTGTAACACAGATATAATATTTCTTGGTTACTCTGGTAAAACAACTGAATGCAGAGATATTTGAGATGATATCTCATTAAGTTATGTGTATGAAGTTATGTGGAAAATTGGACAAAATGCCTGAGATTCTAGAAACATCTTGCCCTTGCATAATGTATAAGTTCCCAACTCAGAAATGGACATGTCCTATAAAATCTATGTCCTCACCCTTCCTCTTTCAAAGGGATCTTGATGCTCCAGTGGTTGAGAGAGCTGAAATATCTCAGATTTGTCTTCATTCCCAAATAAAATAATATGCACATTGGCATCAGTTCCTGCTCCCCTTTTGTCGCCTGTATACACTTTAATAGTATAGTCTGTTAGATTTCCTGGTTGACTTCCTTCTGTGTGTGAGTTGTTATCACTGYCATTCTTCCTTTTGTCTCCTTTAATAACAAAAGATACTGGTATTTCTTTCTGTATTTCAGGGTTATTTGCATCCACAGAAAATGTTCTGCAAAACAAAACAACATGTATTCTGATGGTAACTAAACCACATTTTCAAACAAACAAATTTAAGTAAATTTATATATCTAAAAATGTATTTGGAACATTTAAAGATGGACATATTTAAAAAAAATGGCCACTTTGTGACAATATCATTTAAATCTAGCTTAGTATTTTCAACAATCATACTATCAAGTGATTAGCTTTACATAAAATACTTACTCATTCACTTCAAATACATAAATAGGATCATCCTTTAGAGCTTCCTTTAAATGCAGTTTTTTAACATGCAGTTTGCAGTCTACAAACAAGTAAATAAAGTATAATTAAAATGTTGTACAGAATATCCAAGAATTAGATAAAATACGATAATGACATAGTGATGTTATATCTGTCATTTTAAAACATCATGTATTAATCTACTGATGTATAGCAACAACTGATTTAAAATCTTGGCATCATTATAACATTCCTTATTTTGTTCCTATTTTAAGTTCCTGCTTAGAAATTTAGAAGTAACCACTTGMTTATTTAGTAAAGCAAAGTAGTGATGTTTTCACAGCTGTGGACAGGCATGCACATCAGAYACATCATGGTTCAGAGAGGCACTTTAGAAGATGAAGAGCAGATTATGTATCTGTTACTTCCTCCTCAGTGACTGGTTGACAAGAGGGTTGGAGCTAAGACTCAGTTTCACAAGCAGCACAAAGAATACTTGTCTGGGTAATGAGCATGAAGGATGTGTAGCAATATAAAGCATCTCTCTCCTTCACAAGAGACTGCTCACTGAGTTACATCTCCCTTTGAATCTTGTCCTGGGAACTCCAGCTGCATTTGGACTATTCTTTTTGCCCCCTCCTGTTTTATTTTCCCTTTTGTTCAGCAAACTGTACCCCAATGTCTAAGGGTATCATCTGCTGTTGGAATCTGTGTCCCTTTAATTATGTCAGTAAGAGTCTAAGTTAACCTCAGGCTGTGGAGAAGGGATCCCTTCTATTCCTTCACTCCCTTCTGCTCAGCTCAGCTGCTCATTTCACACAACCTTGAGGTATACATGTCTTTGACGTATATAGGAATTTTTCAAATTTGATTGAAATTGGGTGCTGAGTTTAAAAGTTTATTATGATAACAAGAGAGATAGGCAGATAAGAAAAACAAAAAGTGCAGAAAGTTCGAACATATAAGGCTTGTTTTCTTAGAAAATCATCTAAAATTAGTCAAAGGTACTACATGGTAAGTAACATTTTGCAATTATATAGCAAATTTAATTTCAGGGCATCAAAAGACTATGCAGATAATTAATATTTAGAATATTTTTGAGCAGCATTGTAGCCATCATACAGATGAGTCAAAGAGAAGCTCAGTTATGTCTGTTTTAATGGAATTCTGTGGCAAAACTAACATTTGTCTAATAGGGGGTAAAATCCCCCTCAAAATCCCTGAGAGAACAGAACAGCTGGGGAAAACAATAAAAAACTGAATCACAGACTGCAGAGGAAACATTACCAGTTTTTTACATGAGTTATAATTATTCTCCTAAATCACCTCCTAATAATGGAATACAATCACTAGTCTTAGTTTTTCTGTTTCTCTTCCTTATACTGGAAAAAAAAAAGGAAAGTTTCCTTTCTTGATGCAAAAATTATACAATCTTTAGATCCAGGAATTTTAATATGACAGAATTCAGACATTTTCTTTATAAAACTTTACTTTTTAACAATGATGAAAAAAATCAAAGAATATTAAATGGACTTTATCTCAGGCAACAACTGTACTGCCTTTAACATAAGGTTTGATATGTGATTCACATCATGAACTTAGAGAGTTAGCAAAAGTAACTTACCTGCTTTACTGCTGATTAAAAGAACAACTTTATCCAGTTCTCCCAGTTCAACAGCATCCATGACAACTACAAATGACTGAAACAAAATTATTTAGTATTAAATTCATAAGTTATATTAAATGAAGAGTATAGGAATGTTTGAAAAAAAAAGTACATGAAGCATAAGAATGAAATAAAAGATATGTATTAAAGTGCCTTAAGACAAAATACCTCACTGTCCTCTTCCTGAYGGACATTTTCCAATGAACAGAGAAGGGATCTGTCCCCTGTGTCTCCATGAGCTCCATATACACATGCAGTCATATRCACTACATTTCTCTTGGCCAGAATATTTCTAGAAAACACTGTTATATGATATGTAGCCACTGCAATATCAAAAGGAAAAACATCTTGTTATTATCGTGTCACAACCTTTCACAGCTATTTGACAATGCACAATGTACAGTTAGATGGAATTAAACAATATCTCTTCACAGTGACAGTAAAATTCAAATTGTTTCCACATTTTTCCTTAGTTTGTCCTGTAAATATGAACATCATCTGTGTTCACAACTTCATATTATTTCATTTTCTTTTCATATRGAAAAATTACAACAATTTACCTTTTTATTAAGAGTAAATACATAATACATAAAATTTTGATATGTCTCAGGCTCATCACTTGCTGATGTTTAAAAAGATTAACTTTAGCTAGGGAGATAAGTTCSTCAGACTTCATTATCTGAGAGATGGAGACAGAAGCTTCTTGCATGTGATTAACAGCACCTGAGTTAAGTTTCTGCTTTGAATATCAGTCTTATGGGATGTATCCACTGTCTATAGAAGGAGAACAGCAAGACAAGTCTACCTCGGCTGGAATGATAACATACAAATCTGTGGAGTTTGCGATTTATGCAATGGTTTTTAGTTGAAGAAAAATGACAATATCTGAATAACGAAAGTAAAAGCATTTACATTTTATTCACAAAATCAAATAATGTGAAAGGTCTGAGTAGTTACATCTTTTAACTATCTACTTATCATTTCCCTTTTATTTCTATAAATCCCCTAGTAGAATAGGATCAGTCCTAAGCTTGCAGAAGGCTTCTGTAGGATGTGACTCAAAGCTTAGATTAGTGAGCCACTTATTCCAAACTAGATTACTGGTGTAAAGTGATCACTTGCATTCTTTGAAATTCAAGAAGACTGAAAGTCAGGAAAGTCAAGCAGATAACAGGTTGTTATTATCACCGTTTAGATCTAAGGATCATTTAAAATGCTGAATTCAGTACAACAACCAACTTATATGGGCCTATATCTCATTTCCCATCAACAACAGTAAGRGAGGGGCAGACTCATCAAAGTAGAGTAGATGCATGGAAAGAAATCCAAGTGCTAGAAAGATAAACATAATGGGATAGTTAGGTACTTCCCATTTGTACATTCTCCAAGGCAGGATTATTCTGGTACTTTCTAATTCAAAGGAGCCTAAGTGATAGAGGATAAAGATAGAATTAATTATCAAATTAAAATGGAAAGAAAGAGCTGACATTGCCTATGACAACCAATTTTAGCATGGTAAGATGCAAGAGAGAAGAAGAAATATATGGTCTGTATGGGATACAGGGAATGGATTGTGTTAAAACCAACACAAGAAATGAGGCAAGGAAATAATATATTTGGTTATGTGAAGCAATGCAATGCAGGGAGTAGATAGTTACACGGAACAAAGAAATCTGAGCACTTYGTATTTTGACTCCATCTCTGATACTAGACCTCTGTTTATTTTACTTGGTCTCTGTTTTGCCACAATCCTCCATATCTCTGACTGAGGTCCATCCAGGGASCCCAGTCAAGAGCAGAGGGAGATGGGGCTAGAGACTGGAAACAGAGCTACAACATAGATCCCAAGTTGGATCCTCCTCCATMCAGGAGTCAGGGTCAGAAACAAGCCTAAAGGCAGGTGCACCTACAGCGTAGTTAAGGTAGCAGCTGAAGGCTCAAGACTGATTTTAAAAGGAGCCCAGGGACTCATGGACAGAACATGAATGGATGAGGATCCTAAAGGTGATGAGAACATCTGCCATACGAGCAAAGGCTGAGAGAGCTGGGTCTGTTCAGCCTGGAGAAGAGGAGGCTGAGGGGGGACCTGATCAGCGTGTATAAATACCTCAAGGGAGGCAGTGAGGAGGAGGGGGGCGGCCTCTTTTCAGTGGTGGACAGGGATAGGACTAGAGGAAATGGCTTCAAACTGAAGCATCGGAAGTTCCACAGGAACTTAAGGAAGCATTTCTTCACTGTGMGGGTGACAAAGCACTGGAACAGGCTGCCCAGAGAGGTTGTGGAGTCTCCTTCTTTGGAGATCTTTAAAACYCGCTTGGATGCAGCCCTGTGCCACGTGCTCTAGGTGACCCTGCRTGAGCAGGGGGGTTGGACTTGATGACCTCTGAGGTCCCTTCCAACCTTCGGCATTCTATGATTCTATGATTCTAGATAGAGGCCCCAGGTGAGGCCAAATGYGCACTCACAGCCCTTGTACACTGTAGCCAGTTAGAGTTTGAGGTGAAAGGATGTTGGTCTATACAATAGACCTGTCAGAGTACACTGCACAAAGAGCAGCAACTGAAGCACTCTAAYGCCAGTAAGGGAAGAGGGCTGAAATGCTTTGATGGTGGCCTGTGGTCAGGTAGTGAGATCACACTGTCATAGGTGTGGGCAAAGGTTTTATCTCTGTAGAGTGTTGAGTAGATTGGAGAGAAGATCTATAAAGGGAAACATCTTAAAAGGAGAGTCACAATAAGTATAACACACATACTAATTTTATAATTCAATTAATTTTATAAAATAGTAATGGCTTCATAATATCAGTGTGGCTCTGTTCTATTCATTCYATTTTAACTTCTGTGGAAATGATCAGATATTTGAAAGTAGCACAATGTATTTTCAYTGAACCTTTTCACTGTTTCATTGTCTTGCCTTTAAAGCTATAGTAATGCAAAAATTACCTTCCATCCAAGCCTGTGCGTAAGAGAAAGAGCACTGATTCATCCCTGGGGGATCCCTGAAATGTAAGCACCTCAGAGGAGGGTTTTGTGAAGAGAAACTGATTATGTATACGCTCAGCTGGAGACCTCTCCCTGTTAATACACTCAAAGGCACACATGGACTGGTACACAGTCAGATCTCTGGGGTCTGCACTGTATTTTATCAACTGTATTTTGATGGTGCCAATTAGCCACTAGTATATGATTCATTGCAATACCAAGTGCAAGATAAAAAAAAATTTTAAAGGAAAACCAAGAGATGAAATAATTGTACTCTATAAATGATGCAGAGCTGAGATTTCTGAAATTTAACAGCAAACGTCTTCTGTTAAAGGTGACTATTATCAGCTGCTTTCCATTCCAATTAACACAATATTGGTTTTGCTTTTAGTTCAGAAGAACAAAACCAAGGAGATAATAAATTAGACTCATAAAGCTGATGTAGAAGCAAAGTTTTTTTGCACAATAAATTGCAAGTAACTCTGTGCATTCAAGATCACTTTGCCACCTACCGTGGCACCTGCTTAAACTTCTCTTGGACATGAAATGGCAAAGATTTGGGGGAATATGTTTCACATTGTCCTAGTTCTTTAGTTCGCCGTGATTACTAAATGTAGTTACAAATCCAGTCTTGAAGACTTCTCAACCACAAGCAGAAACAAATGAATGCAAGAGATGAGCTTTGTTGTTTGCTTTTTAACCTAAGCACATATGGTAATGTAATAGATATTCTTTACTTGGTGACTTTCATCTCTCAATCTGAAAGTACTTACAAACAAGGAAAATTTACCACCAAAAAGATCAAAGAATTCAGAAGTGATTTTTTTTTTTCCAAAGAAGAAATAAGGAGCAAAGCGAGACTCTGAACCAAGGTCATCAGGGTTCCAGCCTACGTGTCTGTCATCTACACTGCATCATTCTCTTACTGTGAGCATGTACTTGTGCCCATAAATATATCTGCGTGTAACTACAATCAACCTTTTRATTCTACGGAGAATGCTTGTGTGCTTCCATTTAGAGACATGTAAATACTTCCCTGAATCTGGGTCATAAGTTCTGATCTAAAGCTTGTTGAGGCAGCTGATTTAACACCCACATCAGAACGTTTTGATTGAACTGACTTTTTTTTTTACCCAATAACTTACTCATTTTTCTGCATAAAACTCAGGCACAAATTATTTTAGCATTAAGTATCATAATTTGGCATTTTTATTAAATTGAGAATTGTTAGGTCAAAGAATAATATTTTTTATATTATAGATAGTATGGAGGTGTAGTTGATTTTAGTTGATAGAGTTTCTTTTRTTTTGCTTAGGATGGCATTTGCAACACAATCACTGAGCTAATTTTAACAGTCAAGTATTTGGACTGTATACATGTAATAAAAACATTGTGTTTATGTCATTTTGAGCTATTTTTAGCTCAGACAGAATATTTCTTTGGCAAGTGGTGACAAAAACATTACCTAATAGAAAATGAATTATGAAAAATTACACAGGTAATGTCAGTAAATACGAGCAGCTAAGGACTAAATAAAGGAGAACATAAATATTACATTATTACAAGAAAGGAGTATTTCTTAACATTTTTCAATGTAGCTTACAATAATGGCTGTGTGCAATCAAATGAATATTGCATTTCACACTTTATTGTACAGAAATTAAGCTGAGTAGGCACTTCTTTCCCTTACACATTTTAAATTCTTATTCAGACTTTAYGAATCATTAAATAAAGACAATAAAATCTTCTGTTTTGATAAGGGTTTCAGTTGTAATGTTAGGACAAGTTAACCTCTTCGACCACTCTACTATCCTACTGTAAATTTATACCTACCAGAAAGTGCTGCTTTTAATGGCCATTCTACAGGGAATTCGATCCATCTGTCTCCATTAAGAGAAAGAGGAAGAGTTTTATTTATAGTGAGACTGAAGGTATCCAGGGTTGATGTGTTCTGCATTTTAAAGTGATGAAAAGACAACTGGGACATGCTGTTTTCCAAACACTGAAGTCCAAGTCTGACTTTATAAAGCATTCCCAGATCCGTTGGTAAATGTATCTAGGAAGCGACAAAACAAGAATTTGACATCCCAACAGTAATATGCAGATATATGCACAGCTACTCTATAGGAAGAGAAGAAGATTTTTACAAAGGGATCAGTACTGACTGAGGCCTGGTCGCATTAATCCTTATGCTAAAAYTCCCACTAAGTTCAAAAGCAGCAGAACTGGGTTGAATGTAARCACTTTTGGAAATGCTTGTTTTATACTCTAGAGGCATTCATTGTAATTATCCTATCAAATTTAAATTACATTCTGCATTGACTTCTAAATGTGAATACTTAATGTTAATGCTATTTAAATTGATATGTATTATTAACTATGACTATTTGTTGACAAAAAGAAAGGATATATTTGATCAATACAAACTTGATAAAGCCAAATATTAAAAATGAATATGGTATGMGACTGAAAGTTCCAGTTCTGCTTTTCTGGAGTATTTAAGGAATAACATTTGCAAAATTTATAACACATACATGATGATCTCTCTTTAAAAGGGAACTCAAAGAAAATGTAAATATAGTCAAATCTATATATTATTTTACATCATATGCCACTTGGTTTTTAGCTTGATGTTCCACTTTGTTTCCCATGGAAACAAGATCTGACTTGCCGTTGCTTCCATAAAAAATCATAACCAACTTGGAAATATTTTCTGTCAACTTTTCAAAGTCTTTTTTTGTTTCTTCTTCATGTTTTGTGAAATAAATCCTCCATCTGCCTTCTAAACAAATAAAATATAGAAAATAAAAAGAAAAAAAATGATTAAAAGGTGTTCCTGATTTCATATGTTAATGAAGGTATCTAAGATAAAATTCATAAGATATCTATCTTAGTCTACACAGATAGCATTATATATGTAAGTACTTATATACTAATTTTATGCTTACTTCTTTTTGAGCTTATTGCTCAGCCTCCTAAGTATTTTTAAGTTACTTGCTATTTAGTACAAGAAAGGAGAAAATACTACGAGTACTAGCAAGTGAAAACATCCCCACATCATTATTTTAGAATGAGAAGTTGATGAAATAGCAGAAGCTCTACCTGATCTCATTTGTTCTTTTCCTAAAGGCCAGACAGCAGTGCTCCTCCTCTCCTGAATTTCTATTTAAAAAAAAAAAGAGTGAAAAAAAAAGTTAAATGTAAAAAAAAAAAAAAGAGTACTATGTCATTTAAACTGAAGGTTTCACTAGGAAGTGTTGAGTGTTGAGTGATTTTCTACTTAGGCGTCAACTTCTACATAGCATTCTATTTAATGAACKGATTCTGGAGAAAACTCCATACTACAAAATGTTTGTTTTTCATCTTAAAGTATTTCTGGTTCGTTAGTATAATTTATACTCTGGATGAATTAATATTTTTAATCCACTTATTAGGGGTTGGTAATCCCATTAATATCAGATGGCATTGATTTCCAAAACTTTTCTAAACATTAGAAAAAGAGGACTGAACCACAAACTGAAAGCTTTCTACTGACATTGCAATTAAGTTTGGATTTTCCAATTATAAAAGAAAAAAATAACATAACATATTCTTCAACTATATTAATGATGCTTTCTGGTCAAAGCAATAAAAATCTTTTTCTAAATCAAAACAATAAAAATCTTTTTCTAAATCTTTTTTTCCTTCTTTTTCTTTTTGAGTAAAAATAGATTATGTAACCTTATATATATATATTAAATATTCTTCTGTTTTGTTATGAGTATTCCTTTCTACCGTGTAAATCAAAGCTGAAATTTACTTGTTTCTGTGCAAGTAACAGCTTCAAAAATGAAGAAAATGTATTTCAGGGTATTCAATTTAGTCTCAACAAGCTATCTTTTCGACAAACATCATCATGCCATTGCAGGTATAGCAAACAAAGAAGCTTTGGTTCCAGGAGGAAAAGAAGTCAAATGTGGACTAGATGATCTCTAGAGGTCCCTCCCAGCCTTAAGGACTCTATCTTTCTTTGATTTATTGTAATCTAAAGGCCCAAGTAAACTGCCTATTGACAATCATAGTGGACTTTGGTTGTGTGCTCTTCAGATTGGTGGGTGCTATGCTTCCATCCTGGGCTGAACACCAGATTTCCTTTATGTTGAAACCACATTACCAGAAAGGGGAATCCTATTAATCTTGTTATTGGGTCCATTAATCTTTAAGGATAGGTACAGACAGAGACCAAACAGTTCTCCTGTGGACTGGTTAGCTCCTCAGTGTTCCCAAATGGTGTTTCCATCTAGCTTCTGGCAAAAGTTATCCTAATATTGTGACATAAAAAATATTGAATATTTGTCTGGAATATAGTTGGAATATCTCTGTTTCTTGGTTTGCCCTACTATTTATCTTACTTTCACTAAGCTAGTGAGTAGTAGCTAGAAGTATTCAAAGCTTTGAAAAGTATGTGCAATACTATTCAAAACAGTATTTTGTCACAAGTGACAACATAGAAGTAAGACTTGGAGGGACAGCAATTTGTAAAGAGAATAACCTATATTTTGTCATTTTATGCCACTGTAAATCTGGAGTAACAAAGCAGAAATAGTACTCAAAACAACAATGTTCAGAGACATTAATTTCCTTTAAAATAAAAATGTTCTATTGGAATATTATAAACTATAAACTGTTTATAGATGAAAATCACATAGATTCATTCTGCAGTTTCTTAGCAAAAGATAATTGAAAATAATACTGACCTGTGGCATTTAGAATTACTGAAACAGGTCTTTTTCCATCATGTTTGTCTTTTAGCCATGTTTGAGCCACAAAAAGTGTTTCTGTCCCTGAAGTTGCTGACTCTTTCACAATGATCTTCTCCAGAAGCCAGTCAGAGCCTTTCCCTTTTTCAACAACCATTTCTTGCAGAGGCCCAACATCTACCGCTTCCACTTGGAAAACATCTACCTGAAAAGTTTGGAATAAAAAAGACATGCCTATGAAACAAAAGCATGAAACTAAATTAACTGTGGATTTTGAAATATGAAAGTGAAGAAAATTGGGATTTTTTTATTAATTCAATAAATACCAACAGCAGCAGAAATTATATATTTAAAGAAGCTAAACTCTTGCATTAAGCAGGAGTCCCTTTGTGGTTTTGTAATTTACTGTTAAAACACCTATTCCCTACACAAATCAATTGGTTGTTCATGCTCACTTCCTGAGAGATTTTCCTTCACAAATTTCTCATTTAATGATTTACAGAGATAGCATTTTAAACATCCTTTACTCTCGACAAAATAGACCCTAAGGGCTCCCTTCTGTGAGATAAAATGAAGAGGATGAGAATAATAGAAATGAAGACAAGAGAATGGCATTCTATTCTCTTGGGAAAAAATGACAGACTTGGTCCCACATCTGAGTTAATTCTTGCAGAGTGAATTCTAATAAAATTAATTGCATTTTAGGAAAAAATAACAGACCAAGTAATAAGTTTAAATTAGTTCTACTATTCAGTCATCAGTTAAAAATTCCACAATATTTTGAAAAATGTTGAGAACTTTAAAGTAAAAACCATAAAGAAAATGTAAAGATGCTATGCCCAGAACATTTTCACAAGTGCAGTTTTGGTTGATTGTGGGTCCTGTATCTATTCTATATTTATCTCATGTGAAAAGCAGAGATTAATTCTTGGCATAAAGTCATGTTTTATGTTTTGCTTTATAGAAGTATGAAGGATCATCTGATTTCTATTATGGTTGATAATTGTCATAAAAACTAGTGGTAAAATCTAGTGTGATTCCTTATGAAATTTTTAGCATGATTCAAATATATAAAGATGGGTTTGAGGGGACTACATAGCAATAATGACCAAAAATACTTGAGTCTCAAGACTCTGTTGCAGCCTTGGTCACTCTGAGGAGATTTAGTGAGTGCAGCAGGGAAACAATCCTTATTCAGAGGATTATGCAAACACTAAAAAGAGAAAAGCAGTCATCAGCCAAACATCAGAACCTTTCCTGGGAATGGTTTCAGCTGACCAGATTGCAGCTTAATGGGACTCAACAGGAGTTAAAACATTGAGTGTGAAATCTCAGATAATATATAAAAACAACCATTAAAAAGAGGAAAGRAGATGACCCAGCAACATGAGAATTTCTTTTTTTTTTTTTTTCCTAGTTGTTTTGATGGGATATCTTCACCTATTCTTTCATATTTTTCATTAATATGTGTATGTATGTATGCATGTATGGGAATGATGTCTTTAACAGCTTCCTAAAAATAATCACCACCCTATCATTGAGTTAGTCACAGAATCACAGAATGGTTGAAGGTTGGAAGGGACCTCTAGAGATCATCCAGTCCAACCTCCCTGCTCCAGCAGGGACACCCAGAGCACGGGGCACAGGGCGGCATCCAGGCGGGTTTGGGAGACCTCCGGAGAAGGAGACTCCACAACCTCCCTGGGCAGCCTGTGCCAGGGCTCTGTCACCCTCACAGTGAAGTTCTTCCTCACACGCAGATGGAACTGCCTGTGTTGCAACTTACACCCATTGCCCCTTGTCCTATCACTGGCCACCACTGAGAAGAGTTTGACCCTTTCCTCCCTACATTCTCCCCTCAGATACTTATACATATTGACCAGATTCTCTCTCTTCTCCAACAGGCCCAGCTCACTTAGTCTTTACTCATATGAGAGATGCTCCAGTCCCTTCATCATCTTTGTTGCCCTCTACTGGACCCTCTCTAGAAGCTCCACACCCCTTGATCTGATTCCTTTTAGACTGAAAAGGAATGCTATTCAAAAGCTGCTGTAGTGCCTCATCTAACCATCACCTCTGCATTGTTACATCTGTGCTTTTACACAGGAAAGAGGAAAAAGAGAGAAGCAAACTGGCAAATTTTTTTTTACGAAAAAGTGTTAAAAGGACACTAGACTAGCTATACTTCCTTGTGATGACTCAAGGTAATCATGTGTTTAGGGAATTTTGACCATCAAAAAGTGTACGAAGGAAATGAAGATTAAGCTTCTCAGGATAATGATATTCCACAGCAACAGTTAGTACATTATAATGGTTGAAATTCTAGCCAGAGTGCATGAGTGAAGAGAAAGAGGATCCTCTTTTTGCATTTTCCATGATTAAATCAAAAAGTAGCATTTAKCATCAACACCTCAATTACGGTTGATTAATGCTGTATTAATTTAATTAATGTATTAATGATTGAATGCCAATAATCTGGACCATAAATTTATCTTAATTATTATATGAGTTTTATCATTTATCTATTCTATCTTTAACCGGATTGGTAAAGTTATAGCATTATAAWGGAATAAGCATATAATTGCTTACCACACTTTTAAAATAAAAATGTATTCTGAATACACAGAGGTGAAACATGGGTCAAAAACACAGATTAACTCCATTTAAAAACATACAAACCCCTGCCTCTGTTATGAAATAAATATTTTAAGTTCCTCAAATGTGAAAATACTTTTAGGAATTAGTATTCTATCATTACAAATGTCTATGCTCGTATTAATATAAAATACATGAATCATTCCATTGGAAAAGTATGACAAAGTTTTTGCCAGAGCAGAATACAGACTTTAAAAGAAAAGAGTTTTGAACCTATCATCAATTTCTCCAGAAAAGTGGTCTGTGGACCACTTTTGAAGAGTCAAGGATAAAGGAAAAATATAAAGAATACCCTATAGATTTCTAGACTTGAGCTGGAAGTCCCCTGGAAGCAGGATAGTTGTGTTTGAATTGCTCTAAGCTTGAGAGTCAATAAATTCTATTAAGCTAGAACATCTTCATACAACATCAGCTGAAATATTTGTACACTACTCTCCCTAGTGTGCATAGTTCTAAAAGCACTTAATAGCTCAGGTGCAGCTCATGCTATGGGTTATTCATAACCTGGATAAAACAGCCACAGATAACAAAGTGGAGCATACCAGTGTATTTTATGATACTGGTATTTTACGAAAAGTTTTCCAAATCATTTTTTCCTCTGAAAAGCAGTATATTTTAGCTGAATAAACCTTTGTGAAAACTATGAATTTTGGTTTGCATTAGACATACTATCTCATAATTTGCCAGTGTGCAATCTTGACAGACACATTTTAGAGCATATCTATCTCAGAAATCCACAGCTAAATTTGCAGACAGTCCAGACATCTAAYAAATTATGTGTTGAAAAATGAGTAACTGGACTCAGAGTTGTAAGACCAGCAGTAAACGCATAGAGGAGACTACATTTTCTTTTTACGTGTACTTTTTAAAATTTTATGGAGTGATAAGCTTTACTCTATTTGAGATACAAAATAAAAGAAAAAAAAAGAGCAGCAACTATAATTGTCAGACCTGGATGAACAATTTACAAGAGGCAATCACTATATTTATTCTCTTTTTATATGACCTCTAACATGAGGCTTAAAACTTTTACAAAAACAGAAATAAAGAGAAAACACATGGAAGATAATTAAGTTTACAGAATATTAAACATTTTTTTTTGTTTTCCCCTCAGRAAAAAAGGGATTTTTTTTTTAGGTTCTGTTACAAATTTTGGTTTAGCWCCACAAAACTCATGTTAAAACAGTATACAAATAATAGTATATAAACACAAGTTAAAGATCATGCAACTGAGGATGATGGAAGGAGAACTGAGCAGCTGAGACGGACAATAATGTCAAAGTCTGCATTATGAATTGTCTGGGACCTAGTAGATTGCCTTTAAGCAGAAAGAGAATTTCTCAGATAGGAAAATAAACATTGAAAAGTGCCTTAAAAAACTCATGCAAGCCATTTGAGCTTCCTTTAAAATTTATTTTTTGTACAAGCCTTTTCAGATTTTCTTCAAATGTTTATTTGTTTTCCTGTGATCCAGGTTCTGAGGATTTATTTTGATTCCATGACCCAATTTGACTTTACTCAATACTCCTCAGCGTAAGCACTGGCAACACAGCACTGTCTGTAGCAGTTGCAATAGCTCTTGTAAGAGCAGGAGCATTTGAACAGTCACCATACAATATTTACCTTTATAAATGCCAATCATTTTACAGGTTCAGTATTTCAGACTTGATGGTTGGTTAATGATGATATTCCCAGCAGAACAGAGAATAGCAAGTCAAGACACACCATATGCTTAAATTCCTCAGCCTGTATGCACAAGTGATTTCCCATACTACTAATGTTACTGTCATTTTAATAGGCTTTCACTGGAAAAGGAGTTAAAGTGTTTAGATAAAGCACCTTTTGTATTAAGCTTTGCAAACTTATTGATTTGCTGCCTATTTATTCTGATCTCACTTGTAAATCTTGAGGAAACTCCACTGAAGTCAAAAGGGTTTTATTCCTGGGAGGCCAAATAAAGGCCCATAAACACTTAGTCAGAATCACAAATAATGCCTGCCCATGTAGTTAATGTAGTCAAATGAAACAAATAACTTTCGATATCTCACTTCTCAGACCATGGTGACATGTGCTGTTCCAGCTGCAGCTGGACCACCCCATCCTAATTGCCTGTCACCAGGTGATCTCCCAGAGAGAAATTGTCACCATCTTAGCTATGTCAGCTGAAAAATGTCCRAACTATTAATGATATTAACAGTAAAAACACATTAAACATTTGGACAGAATCACTGTTGCTGCACCAGCAGACGTAAGCAAGAGTAATGGCAACCATTGGTGGTAATATCTTCACCCAGCCCAGTAGAAGGATAACTTACCCATCTGGCTGTACCCTCAACATCTTCTATCCTGTCCTCTCTACAAATAGCTTTTCTATACATCTGAAAAATCCAGTCCTGAACTCCCCCCTCAACTCACATTTTTGCAACCATTTTTTTTTTAATTTTTTGTTAAAACCCCATCAAAAAATGGATTGTAAATGTTTATCTTTTAATAAAAAAAAATTTAAATTACAATGAATGCATGATTACAGCTTTCTGAACCCCTCTAGTT